GAACTTCTGCACATGCTCTCAGCGTTTCGTGAACTCCTCACTGCACCCAGGGGTCCCAGACAAGACCTGTACGGCTCTTAGAAGGAAGTAGGAAGGGATGCCTGGGTGGCTTCATCGGGTGAATGTCCAACTCTTGGTTTCCACTCAGATCATGATCTCATGGTTTGTGAGTTCGAGCCATGCATTGGGCTCTGTGCTGACAGGATGAAGCCTGCTTTGGATCCTTTCTTTCTCCCACTGCCTTTCTCTCCCCACTCAAAAATAAGTGGATGAAGGAAGGAATGGAGGGAGGGAGGAAGGAAGGGAGGGAAAAGGGAGGGAGGAGAGGTTCAGGGTCATTAGCATGCTCTGCCCACACTGCACTCCAAAGACCAGGCCTGGGCCCAGAGCAGCAGGGATGGAGGCTGGGAGTGGGGTGGGGAGGGTTTTGAGTCCTTCTGTCTAGAGTGAAGTGTGTGACAGGTGCGCTGGGACCACGGGGCTGTTTGCAGAAGAGCAGGATTGAGATGCTCAATCTAGGTCTGGAAGTGTGGCCCTAGGGGGCCTGGCAGTCTAGAACAACCCAAAGATCATCCCACCAAGAGGCAGAGGTTGGACTTGGTGACCTCAGGACCCCTCCCAGTTCTAGGCGTGTTTGCTCTGTATGCCCCGCACACGGCTCGGAGAGCTTTCTGTCCTGTGAAACCTGCAGACTCGGTAACTGAAAACCAGTGACTCGGCATCAAACACCACAGAAGCACCGAGGCAGGCCAGGCGACTGCTGGACTCACACTGGACAGGGTACTCCAGCCTCAGGAAGGCTGTAGGCTTCATACTCCATACTGCCCACCCAGCATATGGCCCTGGGCTCCTCAGATCAGAACACCTTCTAGAGAAAACCTTTTAGGCAGCAGGGTGACCGGGAGAGAAGTCAGGCTTTGGAACCCCTCAGCCCTGGTCTGAGTTCCAATATGACCTCTTGCCGACTTAACCTGAGGCTCAGTCTTCTCCTCTGTAAAATGGGAATGACCAGTCCCCATGTCAGGTTGTCATACACCAGCACAGCCCCCCACGGCAGGCACCCCATAATCGGCCCCTCCTTTACTGTGACGCAGACCCTGTCCTTGTCCTGCCAGGAGGAGCCAGGCTTGTGCAGAGGTTCGCAGCCCAGGCAGCCCTTGCAGCGTCCGGCCACTGTGGTGGTCTCTGTGTCGCAGCCCAGGGCGGGAGCCGGGAAACACCTCATCCAGTGAGTGCTCTTCCAAGGTTAAAGTCACCAACCCCTGCCTGGGGATAATAAGGCAGAAGCATCATCCTGTGGACAAAAAACACCTTTCTGGTGCCTCTAACAGAAGGCGGAGAGGTGAGCAGGGAAGGAAAGGAAAGCAGCTGATTCTTAAAGATAGACCCAGCCAGCAGGGCTGCAATCTTTATACGATGCCTCTTACTCCCACTCCCCAAGCCACCTGCCTCCTGGGGCTGGGGGGAGACCTGATTCCCAGCCCACCCTCATCTCTCTTTTTGCTTCCTTTCTCCTTCCTCCTTTCCATCCTTCCCGCCCCATCTTTTCTCCCCACCCTCAGCCCCCATGCTTGTAAAGCAATCACTGGGTAAAGCAGCACCATCAAGCCACATTCCTGGGGAAGCTCCAAGCAGCCTGTTGGCCCCAATGGTGGGAGGTGTGGCTTTAACAGGTGGGCAGGGGAGTGACCAGGAAGCTAGCATAAGGGAACCTATGTGAACCTAATGAGGGACAGAGACACGGTCAAGGAGTTGGTCCTGACCGGTTAGTCAGGTAAACCAAGAAGGTGTGAAGATAGAGTCTTCCAGAAGCTGGTGACTAGCGCCGATTACACCAGGCTCAATTCCAAAGGCTTTCTTTCCATTAACACCATTCCACTTACCACACACAACGACCCAGATGAGAGGCTGGTACAACCATGGCCCCAACTGTCAGATGTGAAAATGAGTCAGGGTGAACTTGCCCATGGTGCAAGGGCAAGGGAGTTGTGAGGACTCAAACCCAGGCTGGCTGGCTCCAGAGCGGAGACTCCCAGAACCACTTTGAGATGTGACCAGTGTCGAAAGGGCATCTGTTTAGCAGGCCACCTGTTGACGGGGGAGGCAAGATGCGTGTTGCGGTGGCCATTTTTCCAGCTGAGGCTTAGCAGGAAAGTGAAGTGGCTGGTCCAGAGGTCAGAGTGAGGGGCACAGTGTGGACTGGGCTCTCGGATCTCCAGCTTTCTGCCTCATGCATCCTGCCCCGCAGGTCAGGCATATCTAGGCAGGGCCCCGGGAGGGTATGAAAGAGCAGACTGGAGGTGTGGGGGCCCCTGGGGCCGGGCACCACAGGGAAGGAGTTGAGCATCAAAACAGACTGTCCAAGCAGCGGTGAAAAGGGGGAGGAAACACCTTTGTTGAGGATCTGCTATATGCTGGGCACTTCTACCTACAACACCGGGGCTCATATAACTCTTACAACAGCCCCGAGAAGCTTCTCCTTTCAGAGGTGAGAAGGTATCAGCAAGACTGGGCCAAAGTACCCAGCTAGGAGGTGGCAGAAAGGGAAGTCCTCAACGCCACACTGCGGGCCTGGAGCTCTCTCTCACTGGCAGCCAAGGGCAGGGACTGTTCTCAGGAGGTGCACAGGGCCAGTGTGTCAGCTGGCTGGAGTCCTGTGAGGGCCAAATGCATTCGGGGTTAAGCCCACGGCAGCCTGAGGTTGAGGTCATCTCTCAGGCTGAGGCTGGGCTCTGTGCTCTTGGGCCAGCTTGCTACACACACTGTGAGCATTGTGTGTGTGTGTGTGTGTGTGTGTGTGTGTGTCAGCTGGCTGGAGTCCTGTGAGGGCCAAGAGCATTCGGGGTTAAGCCCACGGCAGCCTGAGGTTGAGGTCATCTCTCAGGCTGAGGCTGGGCTCTGTGCTCTTGGGCCAGCTTGCTACACACACTGTGAGCATTGTGTGTGTGTGTGTGTGTGTGTGTGTGAGTGAGTGACTGGTTGTGCCAGGCTGACTCAATGGCACAGACAGTCACATTCTAGAACTTCTTATTATTCCCTTTACAGGAAGGGAGGCTCTGAAAGCAATGTGACTCACACAGCCAGTGCCTGGTGGGGCTGAGAGCAAGGCTAACTGAGTTCCAAACTGCATTCTGTGTCCTACAATCCTGTGTCCAAAGACAGGTCGGGCAGCAGCAAGCAGCCACGCTGGGGTGGCCCCAGCAGCAGGTGCCGTGTGGCGGAGGAGGGGCTGTGGGGACCAGAAGGGCAAGGGCTGGGGACTCGAGCAGACTGAATAGCGTGGTGCCTGGAAGCATCCCCAGGTCCTGTGCTGGGGCCTATGGGGACCCAGTCCAGAAGGGGCCCTGCTCAACCGCACTGGTCGGATCCGTTCGGCGAGGGCCAGTGCCAGTGTTCTGGGCACTACATCTACTTGGCATGACACTCCCACCAGGCCATGGAGTGAGGAAGAGGGGAGGCAGGTATCAAGAACCAAGGAGAAAATCAAGGTTCAATCAGGGGAGCGAGAGAGCAGGGCAGGCAAGGACCTGAGTTTAGGAAGACGTAGGTTTGCTTCTGGTCTAGGCTACTTCGTAGCTGAGTGGCCTTGGGTAAATTACTTAACCTTGCTGAGCCTCATGCTGTTCATCTACAGATGGGAAAGTAATTGGGGTAACGAGCCTGACCCAGGACAGCACTGGGCCAGGGTTCTGGGCAGCCGGTAGCGAGGCGGCCCTCGACCCTGGGTCTGTAGCCAACTGACAGACTCCCAGCCTCCACCTGCTATGGGACTGAAATTCCTGCCAGGGTCAGAGCTGAACTAGGAAGTGGGCCCACCTCGGCCACGGATGGAAGACAGCAGTGACTTGGGTCCTTGGCCCTGACAATGCTGCCACCAGGGGAGTGATGACAGAAAACAGACAGGTACGCCTGGGCTGTAAATTTAGCCTGCACTCGAGTAAAATCTCTCAACTGATTTTTGGCCTCCCTCTTCTACTTGGAGTTCTCTATAAGAGCATTACATGGTCCCTGAAGCCGGGGTCCTGCAGTGACCTCCTCCCGCATCACATCCCAGCTGATTAGGGGGCCCTGAATCTTCTCTAGGGAGCACTGGGCTGAAGACAGCAGAAAGAAGAGTCTTTGCTAATAATATCCCCTCGTGTAGGGACAAGTATGTTTTAGAAGCACCTGTCGCTGCTAAATGAAGAGTCAGCTCATTTAGCGGCCTCTGGCTCTCTTCATGGAATAAAAGGAGAGTGAAGATGAGCATGGTCTGGAAGGTATACGAAGGCATGCACTAAAAACTGGCACGTGGGATTAAATCAAGGACTGTTAGGCAAAGCCTGCTTCTTGGGGAATCCCCCACCCTCACACTGAAAAATCCCCTTCTCATTAGCAACTTTTGTTCACTCCCCAAAGCATGTGAACTAGTTCAACAAGCCTGCTGGGGTCACATTACACTAACCCTATGAGCTGGTACGGTGACTGGGGACAATGGAGCCTGAATGTCACCATCTGCCCTTCTGCAGAGGGATGCATTATTCTCAGTTTCCTTCCTCCCTGCCCGGGAAGGAAGGATCCTCTGTGAGGTGCCTACTAAGGTGGGCAACAAAGAACAGCAAGCCCAAGTCTGGATGATTCCCACCAGCCAAGCAGCCAACGCCTCCTCCCGCCAGCATGTGCCCCGTGCCCCCCAGAGCTGCATCCTCGCAGCTGGCTACCCTCTTGCCCCTGCGCTTTGCACTCATTTCAAATCACTTCCCTAACAGGGACACCTCTTCGACTTCTGAAAATGGACTCCCTTCAGTTGAGCATGCAAGGCCCCCACAACTTGTTTGCTCCCAGGGGTCCCCATCTCCAAGCTCAGAGGCGGCTGATCTACTTTAAAACAGACATGCCACCCATCTGTAAAGCACCTGAGGTTGTGATGAGTTACCACCCAGACCGCTGCCCCAAATGACAACCAGCATTAAAGTCGGTGAAAAAACCCAAGGGAGAGAGAGAGAGATCTCAGGCTTCTGCAAGGGGCGGGGAGACGGGAGAATTTATTTTTAGTTAAAACCACTATTTTTTCAAGATATCAAGTTTCAGCAAACCTTTCAAGGGTGTCTATTTTCATTCTCCACCCCGTGGATTACTGGCTGCTTCCCTGGCCAGTCGGCTGTCTGCAGGACACCACGGTGCCCGAGCCCTTTGGCAAAGGAGCAGGCTGATTTACGGCTCCCGGGATTGCTACTTCTTGGGGTGCAAGCTCTGTTCTCTCTGCATGACTCTCTCCAGAAAGAACTCCCAATCTGGTCTAGTTCCTTTCCCTCTGATTCCCAAGCCAGCCTGCGCCCCCAAGGAACAGCCCTGCAGAAGCCTTCAAGGAACCGGAAGAAATGTAAACTGCAAGTTACTACTCATGTCAGAAGATCATGTGGGGGTCGCACGATCTGAGGGTCACCCTTTGAAACAACAGCTTCAAAAATACACAGCTCTCCGGGATAAACCAGGACAAACCAGCCCCTAGTGCTGCTGGCCAAAGCTTCAGGGCTGTACTGATGTGAATAAGTAAATCTATGAAAGCGAGAGAGGCTGGGTGCCCCACTCGGAACGTCTTCAGCCCTTCCAGCCCAGGCTCTACCTCTCTGCCTGCTTCGTGGCTGTGGTTCAGTCCACAGGAGCTTCGAGGAGATGGGAGGGAGAGAAGAACCGAGGAAGTCATACCTCCCGTGGGTCACAGTGGGCTGGGTCTGCCCCCTACCCCCCACCCCTGACATCTGGGATGTAAAACACAAGCCCTCAGGATCCCTACACCTACTCTTCAAATCGATTTGAGTAGCTGTTTCCTGCCAAGAACCCAAGTAAGACAGCTGCCAATCAGGCTTTCATTAAATATCCAGCGATTCATAATGCCCTTGAACCGATGGCCCTGACATGTTGCAAACACAGACATTTGAAAGATCCCACCCTGACACAAGCCAGAGACCACCTTAAGGATTCTTGTTTGAAGACGCAGGCCTGACATCCTCCGTCCCTAGTACAGGGATGACTTCTGGAGCCCAAGTTTAGGGAATGAAGGGTTCCTGGGAGGCCTGTCTCTCTGGGGTCTCCCAGCTGGTTGGTGGGTGCTCTCTCACCCACAGAAAGCAGGGGTTTGCACAGCCTTGCGTCTCGGGCCTAGAACTGGCCATTCCAGGGGAACCCCCCGGATAGGGAGGACTGGGAATTGTCACATCTTGCTGTCCGCTGGAGGGACAAAGTCTGGGACAGGCAAGGGCCCATGGTCCAGTTTTGCCACTGGCCTTGGTAACAGCTCAGACTCAACACTGGCAACAAAGTTCAGAAGAGGCTATGAAGCAAGATGAACTGTAACCGGCAGCTCTGGGCACGGCTGCTGTGCTACCACGTAACTACTGTACCTGTGCCCCATTCTGCTGTCTTTTGGTTCTTCTCCGAAGGTCTCAGGAGAGTTCTTTAAAGTGTCTGAGATGTGCGCCCAGAGGGGAGGCGGGGCCTGGATGTCCTGTGCCCTGTCCCGAGCCCAGCCGCAGCCCCACGCTGCACACTGCCCCAGCCCACTGGGCTGCTCCCCACCTCCCCGAGGCTCCCAAGGGTCACACGGCACTGAGGTTCTTGCCATCACCCGCTTCTAGATGAGGTGCACGAGCAGGGCAGAGCAGGCCGAGCCGAGTACCAAGCCCAAGCACACGTAAAAGGACATCACCACCCCCGTGGCCTCGGCCAGCTCCCTGGGCACGATCTTGGGCCCGTACATGAGAGCCAGGGTGCTGAGGTAGCCGTTGCTGAGCCCCAGCAGGGAGGTGAAGAGCACCGGGTAGAGGTCGGACCGGAAGGCCACCGTGTGCAGGCGGACGCGGGGCTGGTAGTTGCAGAGCACGAAGAGGGGGAGGAGGCAGGTCCGGAGGAGCACCAGCCCGGGCAGCACCTTACTTCTGGGCCCCGGCACCTGAATCCAGGCCGTGACCTGCCGGCCACACAAGTCAGCAAAGTTAAACAGGAGGAAGGTGGTGAGGGGGACGAAGAACTTGGTGGCCCACGGCGAGCCCGAGCCCTTGTCCAGGGACTCAATGTTGGTGGAGATGGCAGGGAAGATAAGGCTGGTGATGAAGAAGAGGTAGATGATACAGAAGCCCAGGCCGGCTGTCTTCTTCAGGATGGGGCGGAGGGGCGGGATGGAGGACTCGCTGGATCCGAGCGCCGTTGCGGGGACGCTGGGTGAGTTCTGGGGTGGCTGCTCTTCACCGGAAAACACATGGGCCGGCCAGACAGGCCTCAGGTAGAACCTGCAGGGGGACAGGGCTCGTGGTCAGAGGGCCCCCAAGAGCAGGGTCACCCGGGACTTCCAGGGGCAAGGCAGGGGGCCTACAGGCCTGGTGCGTAAGGCCTCAGCCCAGGAGGGCCAGCAGCCTCAGGATGCACTCTGATGACATATATATTTCAGGGTGGCCAGGGTGGGGGCTACACACTCCCTGTCTATCCTGGTGCTGCCCAAAAGGCTGGTGGCCACGTCACGAGCAGGGACAGAAGAAAGCACCCCTGATCACCACCTGGTGAGCCACTGTTTTTGTTTTGCTGTGGAGAAGTGGAGATAAAAGAGCATTTTAAAATATAAATTTTTAGGGGTGCCTGGGTGGCTCAGTCAGTTACACGTCTGACTTCGGCTTAGGTCACAATCTCATGGTTCGTGGGTTTGAGCCCCACATCAGGCTCTGTGCTAACAGCTTGGGGCCAGGAGCTGCTTTGGATTATGTGTCTCCCTCTCTCTCTGCCCCTCCCCTGCTCATGCTGTCTCTCATTCTCTCTCAAAATAAACATTAAAAAAAAAATTAAAAACAATTAATTTTTTTTAATTTCTAAAAATAACACACGCTTGATGCAATAAACCCAAATAACACAGAACTCCAGTTCCATTTCTTTTAAGCAAAAGTGGGATCCAACTATACACATTGCAAAACTTTCTGTAACAGGACAATTCCTAAATAAATTATGCAAGTCATGTATATAAATACACCCTATAACTGCCTGAATATGCACATATGATATGAATATGATACATAAATGCAGGCACATAATTGTGTCAAGAACAAGATCTTGTGGCTTGTCTTTAACATGGAGACACGTGACTTGATGCCTCTGTTGTGTAGCTCACAACACTTCATTGTGTAGACACACAATTTAACTGCTCCCCTACTGATGGACATTTAGGTTAGCTCCAATTTCTCTCTCTTGCTAACCCCAGTGCGATGAATGATCCTATACATACGTCATTGCATGTGCATGTTAGTATTTCAGTAGAGCAAATTTCTAGAAGAGGAACTTCTGGACCAAAAGGTTTGTACCTTTAACATTTTGATAGATATCAGTAAATTGCTCTCCAAATAGGTAGGAACAATCTATCTCTGCTCTGTCCCACTCACCCACCCTATTGATAGTAACCTGTCCCTTTAATCGCTATGTGATCATCTGTCTCTTTAAAAAAACTGACCATAATTTATAATCATTGGATGCGTTTACCGGTTTATCATCTGGCTCCTAGAAGACAGCTCCTTGGGGCAAGGACCATGTTTGCTGGTTTCCAGCTAAATTTCCAGGCCCAGAGTAACCCTTCAAAACACAATTGTAACTAATAAGCCTATAACGATGTCTTTCCCCTCATATCCTCAACACTGAATATTATCAATAGTTTCAATTTCTGCTCCTCTGACCAAAGTAGAGAGGGCTTGGGTCACCTGGCCTTGCTGTCTTGCTGTGCAACCTTGCCCGAGTCACTCAACCTCTCTGGGCCTCCCGTGTCTGAAAGCCGGGAGACATAGGCTGACTACATGATCACTCGTCAAATAGAAGGCTTGGTGTGGGGCTGGGAGAACAGTCGCCTGGTAACAGCTGGCTCTGATTTCAGCCCTACTGCTGTCTCCCCATGTGACCTTAGGCCAGGTACTCCCTCTCTGGGCTCAGTTTCCTCCTCCGTCCAATGGAGCCAAGAGCTTCGGAGCTTCCTGCCGGTCCACCCATGCTAAGTGCCTACAGATAACAAGTGAATTGGTGGGATGGTCCCTCCTCCAAGTCACATTTCCATGTGATGCTGAGCTGCGCAGCACTGCAGCCTTGAACTCTGTCTTGTTTCACAATCACTATTTAGGGAAAGGAGTTTTCTTACTTCCTCCTCTAGTCAGCAGCAGGTCCCAGCCTTCAGTCAGCTCTGGGGAAGCTCTGCGCCAAGTTCCTCTGATCCAAGCTCTTCCTCATTAAGTTCTTTCAGATCTGTCTCCTGCCCACTCCCCTGGCCAGCAATCTCCCACACTGTCCTGCGGCTCCGTTCCTCCCATGGACAGCACCCGTGGGCTCCCTTTTAACTACGATTTTGCCCAAGCAGCTCCAGGAGCACAGCCCTCTCCAAAGCTCCAATCTCACATGTGTTTCTGTAAACCTGGAAGTCTTGACCAAAGTTGTAGTCAGCAAAGAAAGAGAAGCTTCCATGGGGACGAGGTAGCCCTTGGGCGTTCCCTGTCTCACAGGCCCAGCCGGAAAGGACTTTGGCCCGCCCACGTGAGATTGGAAACGAGGGTGGCCAAAGGTCCCTGTTGGCCAAGACCGTCCTGGTTTGGGCACCAAAAGCCCCTCATCGTGGGAACCCTCTCCATCCCAGGCAAACAGGGGAGACTGGGCACCACACTGGGAACAGACCCAGGCGAAACCCCGAGAAACAGGATGTGGGGAAACAGCGGCTGGGAGGCACCTGCCTCCGTCCATTCTGTGACTCAAAAATCAATCAGTCAGCAGCCACAGGGTGTTGGGCAGTGGATGTGGTATTGGGGGCAGTGAGCTGGCCAGGCCTCAGGATCACAGGGACGTCGCCATGCAGCACAACTAGGCAACTTTTGATGACGGCCCTGAAGGTGCTGCAGAGGGGGTGGGCAGGCTCCGGGTCCAAAGTCACCCAGGACACACAGTGTGAGGGCACTGGGTCCCCATACATCCCCCTGGGGCCACTGAGCCCTGAAGTGATATCAGTCCTCTAACTGGAGAAAGCAACATGTGCCTCGGCAGGCTCTGGTGAAGGCAGGGGGCTCCAGGGGTTACTGAGGAGACTTTTTCTCAGGGGGACAGGAGGAAGGAGTGGTGACGAAAGACCCTTGCAGTCACAAGCTGGGGATGCAGCCTGACGTAGTGCAAAGGCACAGCTATGGGAATAAATCTGGGTTCAAACCCCAGCCTGGGATTCACCAGGTGAGCAACGTGGGCATATCTGTTAACTTGCCAAAGCCTCAGTTTACTCACTCTGTGAAATGGGGGAGGGCAGTAACAACTGCACACAGTTGTCACACATAATGAATGAAGAAAAGAAACACATGTGTTAACTGCTTAGCTCAGTGCCACCCCACAAAGTGGATGCCAGTTCCTACACTGTGGGGCCACCGGTGGCTCCCGGCCTTCTCTGCCTCAGTTTCTTTACCCAGAGAATGGGGAAAACAATTCCTGCCTCTCCCGCATCAAATAAGCTAATAGACATGAAAATGCCTTGAAAAGCATAAAATCTGAGAAAAAGTTAAAGGTCGTTTTTCAAAGAGCAGCAGGAAGAAAAAAGGGGAGGGTGCCTGAGGGGCTCAGTCGGTTGAGCATCTGACTCTTGATTTGGGCTCAGGTCATGATCCCAGGGTCATCGGTTTGAGACCCGCATCAGGCTCTGCACTGACTGTGGAGCCTGCTTGTGATTCTCTCTCCCTCTCCCTCTCTCTCTCTCTCTGTCTCTGTCTCTCTCTCCCCCTTTTCTTGTGTATATGCTTTCTCTCTCTCTCAAATAAATAAGTAAATAAAGTTGGGGTTTTAAAAAAGAAATGAAAAGAAAAAGGGAGAAAGAGAAAGCTGAGAAGGACTGAATAAGTCAAGAGGTCCCGCAGGGTGGAGAGAGGCCGGGGGAGAGAGTGGATCAAATGCAGGTTTGGAGTCAGGTTTATGCCCTGATTCTGACCAGCTGTTGGACTCAGGCAAGAAATTCAGCTTCTCGGACCCAGGTGCCTCATGTGAGAATGGGGACAGTCATGATAAACCATGGTACTGCGCCCTTCGAGGGACAGGTGCATGAGCCCCGGATGAGAGACAGCCCACCAGGCTGGGCCGAGCACAAGGCGGAGGCAGCGCGGGCGCTGGGCACGTGGAGCTGTTCTACGTCACTGTCACTGCCATCGCCTGGTGTCCCGTCCAGCCGGGCGGGGAGGCAGGCCGCACAAAGCCGCCCGCCTGCATCCACTGGCCAGGCCCATTCATGGAGCAACAACTATGAACCGGGGTGGCCCTGAACCAAACCCACAGGATTTCTGCCCACGGGGTGGGGGCGGGGAGGAGAGGGGCTCTCCCCACAGCGGGGAGGTGGCAGTAAGAGAAAAGGACCCCGCCACCCGCTTGGCTGGTGGAAGACCGTGGGCAGACCACGTAAAAGCAGAAGCCCAGCTGGGGGACGGCGCCAAGGGGCCAGGGCGGCCTCACCTGGCGTACTCCAGCCGCGGCAACAGCAGGTAGAGCCCCACGCAGAGCCCGAGGAAGACGTCCGCGGTCAGGAAGAAGGCCAGCGCGCTGTCTGTCACGTCGCTGGCCGCCGCCAGGTCCACAAGCAGGGCCACGGCACTGATGGTGCCCCCCATCGCTCCTCCTGCGGAGAGTGCGAGAAGGTCGGGGTGGGTGCGCCCTCCCGGTCCAGGTCCCGGGCCTGCCCCCTCTCTGCTCAGGCTTAATGGAACCAAGATAAAAGTCCCCCTGCCGAGAGAGTCGGCTGCTGCTCGCAGCGGCTGGGCAGCCTGAGCACTGACCCAAAGAGGGTGTGGGATGTCGGGTCCCTGGTCCAGGTTCCTGTAGCCTCAGGCAGCCAGTGCCCTCCAAAGTTTCACCTCTGACCTTCGACCCTCCATTGCTCTTTACTGCCCATCTGTCGGGGTCAGAAGTTTTAGTTTCACAGAGGTGGGTGGGCATCTCACAGAGCTTCCCTCCTGTGCCCTCGGCCCAAACCACCCACCAAATGGGGAAGGGGGTTCAGGGACCGTCCTAGCACACTGCTGCTGAGTGGCACCATCCCATCCAGGGAGACCTCGTGGTCCCAGATCTCCCGTGCCACCCCCTCCGACCCCCGTGAGCTCATGGAACTGACCTCGTACCCCATGGCAGCTGTGCGCCCATGTGCACACATGCTCACACTTCCGCACATAGACTCTCACATGCAAACACATTCCTATACTATCACACTTTTACATGCACACACTCACGTTCACTCATGTGCATGCAGCCGCCCGACCAGCTGGAATGTTCTCTCCTGCCAAGGGCTTTGACCTGTGACCCGTGTGACTATGTGCCACCACCATTCACTGCTACCAAGAGGCAGCACATCTTAGTGGCCCCATGGGTCCCAGAGCTAAATGGATGCACATCTGACCCTTGACCCTGCTGCTTGGGGGCTCGCTGTGACTTGGGGGCTCACGTGACTCCTTGGGGCCACAGTTTGCTCATCTGTAAAATGGGAATAACCACACCTGCCTTGCAGAGCTGCTTTGAGGACTCAGTGAGATGCTGTTTGGAAAGGGCCCGACACCGAGTAAGCTTTCAACAAGTGCCAGCCCCCTTCCTTGCCACAGCCATGCAGTCACTTCTGGGAGGCAGGGGAGGTGCCTCACTTTTTGGTGCAACCTCACAACCATGGGGAGTCAACCTGTCTGGTCAAGGGTCAGAGGTTATACATGTTGTGCGTTGTCTGCATGTCATCTGCCCCTCTCTGCCTCTGTTGACTTGCCTAGAAAAAGGGGCTAAAGCTCGTCTGGTGGCTATGGCACACTGCCTGGCTGAACGAATGAGACTGCCCATAAAAGAGGATCGGGATATGGACCCTCAAGGAGGCAGGAAGGTGCTGACTGCATAAAGCAAGCAGCAAGCTGGTCGCTATGGGCGTGGGCAGCGCCGTCACTGCCACAGACTCTGCCCAGGGGGCACTTTTCTGCCCACCGCTGCACAGAGCAGGCGTTGAGAGGGACAGTTTAGGGCCTCGCCCACACTCTGCCCGATACCTCTGTGGCTCCGCAGGGAACAGCCCATTGCCCTGATGGACGAGCCTTTCTCCCTAACCTCAGCGTGAGCTTTACTAGCCTGGGCAGGCCAGACGCTGGGATTTGAAAGGGTGGCCAAGAAATGGAAGTTAACACAGTGAAGGGTACAGACTCCGGAACCAGAACATCTGAGTCCAACACTGGTTCTACCACTTCCGGCCGCGTGGCCTGCAGTAAGTCATGGAATCTGTCTTTGCCTCCATTTCCTCATCTGTAAAACGGGGATGCTAGGCATACCCACCTCAAAGGGCTGTCACAAAGATAAAAAAGGGTTATTACGCACTAAGCATTTGAAACGGTGCCTGGCCCAGACACGTGCCGTGTAAATCCTCTCAGATTCCCAAGGAAGCGTTTGGCTATTTCTGTCCTTCCTACATCAAAGCAGCAACGACAGGGTAAACCCCTTACCAAGAGGGTGCCAACTTCGGAGAAGCTGTAATCCCCACCTGGGTGTTTTGTACGAACCGGAGCTAAACTTTAGTGAGACACTTGCCGGCTGCCCCGAGGAAGAGATCTTAACATCACTGCCTATTGATTTCCCTCTCTCCCCAACTTGTAGGGAATTTACAATATTATCATCAACAACAAACCAGGCCTCCGGGAGCTCATCTTTCATGACTCCCTACTTTTATCTCATCAGTTATGGAAATACATGCAAATGAGGGGCTTAAAAAAAATACCAGTACAAAACAAATGAATTCTTCCTCAGATGCCAATACACACACAGAATTCACAGATGGGCTCCTCTGGACGAAAAATGACGGGGGCGGGTGGGGTGGTGGTGGGGTCTCTGGGAGACGGGCCACCCCCGATTTCCCAGGGCCAGGGGCACCCGATGGGGCCCCCGCAGAGCGAGGATACCGGATTAGGGCCCAAGGTAATTGATATTGAAGGCTGTATACCAGAATTCTCCACTTCTTCAAAAATGGACTTTCTGAAAAATTCATAGGAGAGTCCCCTTTTCTAGAAGATTCACAGGTGGCCAGATGTACCTGAAAGGCCCCTTGCAGGATGGCGGGAGAAGAAGGGACAAGGCCTCCTCTGGGAGACTCTGGTGACAGAAGAGATTAAATCCAATGCTCAGGGCCATTGCGCTCAGGCTAGGCATGTCCTTCTTGAAGCACTGCTAGGGGCATCTTGATTATATTCAAGAGACTTAACAATAGGGATGCCTGGGTGGCATCCGACTTTGGCTCAGGTCATGATCTCATGGTTCGTGAGTTCAAGCCCTGTGTAGGGCTCGGTGCTGACAGCCTGGAGCCTGGATCCTGCTTCGGATTCTGTGTCTCCCTCTCTCTCTGCCCCTCCCTTGCTTGTGCACTCTCTTTCTTTTTCTCAAAAATAAATATTAAAAAAAAAAAAAAAAAAGAAGGAAACTTAGCAATAGGTCCCCTTTAGTTTACCTTAGGCCCAGGGCTTTCCCAGGATAGAGAATCTTGTGTCAAAAATGGCAAACAGACTTGGGCTCACATCTGATCTGATGTGATCAGAACTCTGATCTGGTGCAGGAACACCTCTAGTGGGTGAGTTGAGAAGGGCTCAGAGGCTCAGGAGAAAAGATGCAGATCTATTATTGATGTCTGGCACTGGCGTGGGCATGGAGAAGGGACACACACTTGCCCAGGTATTTGTCATCTCTGCCACATACAGCCTGGCATTATTAACTAACGGATACAGAGCAGACTCTGTGAAATTCTCCTCGGCTGGGCAAATGTTTACAGCATTCCTTCACACAACAGGGACGTGGCCAGATGCTGCACAGAGCCGCTGAGACTTCGTTAAGGGCCGGTGGCCTTCTGCAAAAGCACAGATTCTTACTGACCCACCTCCTTTTTATCTTGTTGGGACATCTGAGCGAGGGAGCAGAGCGGCTGAGGCCTGGGCGACAGGCTTAGGATCAGCATCAAAGTTCAGCCAAAGGCTTGGCCCAAGTCACACATCTGCGTCCCCAAAGGATGCCAAAGTTCAAGGTAATGGAGGTGTTTATTTGCCAGGCAGGCTATCAGCTCCTGAGAGGCTGGCTCTTGTGCATCTTTGAATCCCTGGCACATAGGTCTTCTATAAAATGAGAAAGGAAGAAAAGGCGGAGAAGCGAAGAGGAAGGAAGAGGAAAGAGGGAGGAAACAGAAGGCACAGGGATGAGGAGGAAGGGAAGAGAGGGGTGCGGTCTCAGGAGATGTGCTCGGTAGGCACACGTTTTTGTCAAAATTGGCTGCAACTGGCTTCCCTCCCACCTGCTCTCCTTATAGGATGATTTTCATGTTCTCCTGCTAACACATGTGGGTCTGCGTCCCCTCTCCTCAAATCCAGGTGGGCTCGTGGCTAGGGTAGATGTGGCCCTAAATGGCCTTGGGGAAGGCCACACAGCCTTCCTGAGGTCCTGACAGAAAGGAGGCCCGACCCCAGCCCCAGGCCTGGCTGAGTTCCTCGGGAGTGGGTCCTTGAGCCCTGTGGATGTCGACCGATGCCGTGTGGATCAGAGGAGGGCAGTCCCTGCTGACTCCTGCCCAGATCACAGATTGGGGGCCAGAGAAATGACCGTTAGTGTTTGAAGCCACTAAGTTTTGGGGTGCTTTCTTACCCAATAATAGACAGTGGAAACATAGCTAACACTCGTTTTCTTTTCTGGAAGGGCCACTGCATGCTCCCCTGTGGCTCTTCTGCAAGATCCCCGGGGGACCCACCAGCTTGGCTGCCCGGAGCCCCGCTCTCACCTGATATCAGTGCCTGGGAATTCCTCATGGGGAAGGAGCCAGTCATGCCGAAGACACTGCTATTGAATATGGTGGAGGTGCCGCTAAGGAGGGCCATGCAGACAATGGTGACGGCAAAGAAGCCAAAGGTCCACGAGGAGGTGTCCACCTTCACTAGCACGGTCATCACCAAGAAGACAGCCAGCATGACAGCCAGTGAGGCCAGCACACGGACGCGGATTGGAACCCTGGAGTGGGGATGCCAGAAGTGGTTAGGTGGTTAGGGGTTCGGGGCCTCCCCGGCCAGGCCAGGGCTAGTGAAGGTTCTTAAGGGAAGCAGGTTAGCTCAGTGGCTGGGATGGCCCACTCTGCAGCCTGGAGGCCTGGGCCTGAGTCCTGCCTTCCTGGCTTGCTAGCTGTGTGGCCATGGGCCAGTGACTCAACTGCTTTGGTTTGGCTTCTGCATCTGCATACCAGGGAGGAGAATGGATCCACCTGGAGGGGTGATTATGTGGCTCTCCAGAGGGGAGGGTGCAGAGGGCAAGGGGTCGTATCAGCTCAGGGGAAATGCTCAGTGGATATTGCTTCTTTTCATCTTGTTGTGAGGTTCAAAGATAGGACTTGGGGGCTCTCGAGGAGAGCCCCTGCTCCCCCACCATAGGGCTGAGCTCCCACTGGCTTTGTCTAATGTTTCCATGAAGCACCCACCCTCGGGCTTCCTTCTCCCAAAGCTGAGCAGCGAGGGGAGGAGGGAGAAGGGCAGAACATCATCATCATCCTACAGCAATCACCAAGATAGTGCTTAATTTGTGCCAAGTACTCTTCAACATGTTTTCTACATGCTGTCTTGCACGCCAGACCAGACAGGCCCTCTGTCCCATCCTGCACCACCAGGGCAGGAAACTGAGGTCAGAGATGATGAAGAACTTGCTCAAGGTCATGGGGCTGTGACCCCAGGGAGTCTGGCTCTAGTCTGTGTTCAGAATGACACTCCACCACATCCCTGGAAGGAAGGAAATGCGGGTGGTCCAGAACCGAAGGATTCTCCTGGGACGGTCTCAGTGGTCATGGGCAGCAGCGGACCCCAGGCTAGTGCGGCCCAGGGCGGGACCCCAACCCCACACCTGTGATGTAAACCATACACTCCTCCTAGCTCCCAACTGCCCAGGCACTGCCCTGAAGGGAGAGCAGAGAAGACTGGCTCTCTGAGAAACTGCACATTTTTATTCCACGGAGAGTATCATCTAAAGGGGCTGCATTTTTATTCCAGGGAGAGTATCCTCTAAAGGGGCTGTTTAAATCATCAGATTAGACTAAGCTTTAAGCCGGATTGGATGTTTGGTTAATTTTCCTTCTTAACCAGTGGGTGGGGGCTGGGAGAAAAGCCAGATTTGTTATACACAGGGTTTTTTTTTTTTTTTTAATAAAAAAGAAAGACCTGAAAGGGAAAAAAAAAAAAATATATATATATATATGTATATAAATAGGTGTGAAATGATGAGCATGAGAAGCAAGGATTTTTCAAGTGCTTTTGTGGCCCAAGGCTAACCTGAGTTTTTTCTGATCCTCGCTAGAGGGAGACCAGGTGCCGCCTCTGCTTTGTAAGGGGCAGAGGGGAGCCCCAGGAAATGCACAGGCAGTTCAAGGTCGCGGCGTGAGCCTGTGGGGAGCGAGGATGAGAACCCAGGTGTGCGGAGCCTCAGCCAGGGGCCGCCTGCTAACACACATTCTCCCTGGTGTGTTCATTCCACAGATGTGTGTCGAGGCAACCACTGTGTGTCAAGCCCTGTGCTGTGTGACCTGGACACAGGACAGACAAGGGACAGGCATTTTGTTTCAGTGTGCGCTGCTCCATCGGGAGGGCCCCAGGGCATCCTGGGCACGTCCAAGGGGCACAAAACCCACCCTGGGTGCCACACAGTGTTTTGGGGGTGCCTAAGCTGGAGTATAAGGCGTGTCAGGATGTGTGTGCACAGGTCTTGGGGAGAGAGCGAGCATGGCACATTCAGGGAACTGAAATGGCCTCTGGCCGCAGGTGAGATTGGGAGCAGACGCTGGAGGGAAGCGGAGCCCTCTCCTGGAAGGCCCTGTCCACCTAGTAAGTGCCAAGACTTGATCCCCGGAGTAGGGTACAGAGTTGGAGTGCAGGCTTAGCTTGCCAGCATCCCTTATCCAAAGAACTCTCTTCCTTCCGCCAAGTTGTTCTGGAGAGGTGGCCCGCCATATTGTCCACACTGACCCAGCCACAAATGATGGACACATGATGACTGGGTCTGGGGTGACTGGAGTGTCCCATGCCACCGGCCGCTGTGCTGGGTTAGGGATTAGCACGTGAGCCAGGCAGGGCCAGTCAGTCCTTCCCAGGACTGAGAGGTGGAGAGAAGTGCAGTCTCTGCCATGACCGTGCTGGGGGTGGCTGGCAACCACCTGGCCGGCTACGTGGAGAAAGACCACATTTGGGATGAAGCCAGGCAGACACACACAGAGCCCAGGGACGGTGCAAGAGGAGAGCCCGGGGGACGCATGTGATCTCCTAGACCCGACAATGTGCGGAGGTAGACGTGACTTTAATTTTCCAGGTAAAGAATGAGAAAACCCTTTTCGTGTCACTATTCTTTATTACCAAAGTACCAACGAGCACCAAGAGGCACCTCAGGGTTTCTAGCTGAGAAGCAGCACGGTCAGAAACTCCACCTGTGTGGCCCCCTCTACCAGGAAGCAGGCTGCAAGTGACAGGTAATTAACACCCCCCAAGAGCAGCTTTCAACCAATGATGGGGAAGTGGGAGGGTAAGTACCCCAGCTCCCTCACCCTCAGAGGTGTCAAGCTGCGTCACTCTCTGGGAGCTGGTTTGATAGAATACCACCAGGCACCCTTTGTTAGTGGCCTTCCCCTCTCCCCACCCCTTCTCCATTCTCCTACCTTCACTTCCCAAGTAAACTCCTCTCACTTAAATCCCTGTTCCAGGGGCTGCTTTTGGGGAGCCCGACACCAAGTGCATCTTCCCGGGGTCTACAGGGGCCTAACCCTGGGCGGGAGCTGGCAGGCAGCCAGTAGGGCACTTGGGCCCTGGGGGCCCAGGGTATCGAGGGTAAGTGCACACCAGGTGCCCCGGAGGCTGGTGGTCAGGCCTTATCTCAGATGCTCAGGGTAGTTCTACACACTCGGCCTTGTCACAGTGCCCTCCACCCTCTCCCAGCAGCTGGAGCTGCCCCAACATCCCAAAGATAAGAGCTAGCCAGGGCACACGGCCTGGGTCAAGATAATATTCCAGTTTACAGTTATAGATATTAAGGAAATCAAGTGGAGAGAGAGGCTGGGGGCCAATGCCAAAAAGCGTTAACAGATCTTTGGGGCCAGAAGGCCCAGGGCAGCCTGGGAGACATGAGGAGACAGTGATCTGTCTTGTTCTCCCGCCCGCTCAGGGCGGGCACAGGGCCCGGGAGGCACTGGTGAGGCTCCATTGGACACACAGACAGGCAAGGGCTCCTGGCAGTGCAGGGAGGCTCTCACGCTGGGCCTGACGCCCGGTGGCTCTCTGCTTCTTGACCCACTCTGCCTCTAACCGTCTCCTCCTGGACCCGGAGAAGATGAAGTCTACCCCGGGAATACTGATAACATCACAGGGGCTTCTGGGGCCTGTCACAACCAAGTAATTAGTTGTCCCAACAGGAAGGTGGCTTTGGAGAGAGCTGGGGGACTTCTCCCCCAGCACCCCCAGGGTGGGCAGCCAAGGGAAGAGTGGGCGACAAGGAGGTAAATGCCAAATTCAGGACAAGAGCAATGCAGTCCCCTGCTCTGCTCTGTGGCCCCTGTAGGCCCCTGACCTGCACAGGCTTCCTCCTGGCCTGCAAATTACCTGCCACATGGACCCTTTCTCCTCCTGAGCCTCACCCCTGGGCCCCGGGACCTCAGGGATCTTATCTGGGGCTATTTTCAATGCCCATCCAGCTCTACGAAACATGCGGCAGGAAGCCCACCTCACACGCACTAACGGGGGCATGCTAGCTTCAGCCTGCTTCTTCCACCTCGGCCGGGAGCGTGGCCCAGGGGACGGCGATGCCGTGGGGACTGTAGGGAAAGTCTGGGCAAACGTCGCCCTCCAGTCAATGGTCCTGCTCTGGGACAGGGGCTGGCCCGGGTGACCGCTTCAGCCCCGGAACCCTGGTGCAGCCACGTTAATATGAGATTCTTTGAGAGGGCTGACAGCTCCCCACCTCCCTGCTCACAGGGGTTTGGGACCCCAGGGGACTGATTTCTTCATAAGTCTCTCAAATGTAAATCCTCCTCATAAGTATTTATGATGCCGCAGATTTAACATAATAAAACACTTGGAGATTATGGATGAGCCAGTCAGAGAAAGCGAGGGTTCTCCAGGAGGGGAAAAAAGGAGACATTTCAATCTCGCACATTAAATAAAAAAGAGCTTAGCCCCAAACCATCTTCCCACAACCCAGAAACAGACGGAGGCCTGTGAGCATTCCCCACATTGCCCTTGACCCTGTCCTGGAGGCAGGAGAAAGGCAAGGGCAGGTCCTAGGGTGGGCTGGACCTTCTGGAGGGGTGCCCTGTAATGCCAAGCATCCTGAGTCAGCTCCCTGCCTGACTTCGGGAGGGTGGCCACCTGGGCTGTCCACCGTCCCCACTACAGACCTAGACCTTCTTCACCACCTCCTTCCTTCCAGCTGCCGGATGCCAGGGCGGAGACCCTCACCAGAAGGGTCTTCGGTGCAGCTCTGGCTGTAGGGAGGGGGAGCAAACTAAGAGGCAGGTGGTCCAGGGGGTGCAGGTGTGGGGTGAGAAGGGTCCCAGTCCCCATCTGGCTTCACCCTGCTAATGTCCGTGTGACCTCTGTGAGCCTGTTTCCCATCTTAAAACAAGATAAAAAGTTTCCTGCTCTCAGGCTGTTGCAAGGATTAAAGGAGGTATTGCTAAGGATGCCCGGTGGCTCAGTGAGTTACGCACTGGACTTCCGCTCAGGTCATGATCTCATGGTTCATGAGTTTGAGCCCTGCGTTGGGCTTGCTGCTGTCAGTGCAGAGCCTGCTTCAGATCTTCTGTTCCCTGCTCTCTCTCTCTCTCTGCCCCTCCCCCCTTGCACTCTCTCTCTCAATAAATATAAATAAATAAATAAATAAATAAATAAATAAATAAATATTTAAAAAGGAGATAATGCTGTAAGTGGCATGATTGCTTCGAAGTTCTAACTCCTGGGGCGTCTGGGCGGCTCAGTCAGTTAAGCATCTGACTTTGGCTCAGGTCATGATCTCACAGTTTGTGGGTTTGAGCCCCGCTTCAGGCTCTGTGCTGACAGCTCAGAGCCTGGAGCCTGCTTCGGATTCTGTGTCTCCCTCTCTCTCTGCCCCTCCCCTGATCATCCTCTGTCTCTCAAAATTGAATATACATTTAAAAAAAAAAAGGGCTAACTCCTCTTATTAGAGATTATTCTTCTAGATCCCTGTTACTGCTGACCCCTGTCACCACTGCTGACCCCTGTCCCAGGCTGGCTACTGGACTGCTAGACCTCATGACCACAGAGGAGGCACTGCCAGGGTCGATGCCAGCTTGTGCCATCCCTTACTGGTCCTGTGGTCTCGGGTATGTCTTCCGACTTCTGCCTGAGAAGTGGCTAATGTCATGGCCTCCCTCCCAGGTTGCTGGGTGTCACCAGGTGTCACCCCCTTTTTACAGTTCGGACGGTGACTCCAGATCTATCACTTGTACAAGCCTGGGCTATCCCTGCTGGACAAGCCCACATCAGTAGGGCCAGCCAGGCGAGTGGACAGAGAGGGTCATGAGAGTCCTGGAAAGGAGGAAGTCATGAGGGACCAAGGGGTTCTCCGCCACGGCTGTAACCCCCTCTTTGTCATCCTCCTCTCTGAGTCCCCTTCCTTTCTTCCTGCTTTCCCTCCTGTGAGTCTCTGCCAAGGGCACAGCTCTTCCCTCCAGGGGCTGGCAACAGGGGACACCCGGCCCTGCTCTGAGCTCCATTCCTCTGCCTCCTCCTGGAGTGGGGTTCCTCTGGAGGCTGCACCCCACCTTTGAGGACAGTGAGGGTAGCCCTGTGAGCCAGGGGGAGGCACAGGGAGGCAGGTTAAGGATCAGCTGGTTTATGGTTGGGGTTGCAAAGCCCTCAGGCTTCTCGCTTTGACAGCCTGCACCTTGGTTTTAAAATGGGTGCAAATCCTTGACCTTCCTTCTATTGACAGGTGGGTCTATGTCCCCTTGAAGCCAAGTGGGCTCAGTGAGCGCCTCGACTGGCCGAGGAAGGCATCTGTGACACCATGTGGCTGCAGAGACGAGGCGGCAGAAACCGTGTAACCTCTGCCTCGCTCTCTTAGAGCACTTGCTCTTTAGCCACAACACAAAAAGTCCAACTATCTGAAGCCAACTTGCAAGAGACCACGGGGAAGGGAGGGGAGGGGAGGGGAGGGAAGGGGAGACAGGTGCCTGAGAAGGCCCAGCAGCTCTGGCCCAGCTGCCTGCAACCACATGAGACACACAAAGCCAGAGCTGCCAACCGAGCCTGGTGGCCACCGGATCTGGAACGATACCAATCACTGTTACTGTCGTAACCACTATGCTTCGGGGTCATTTTAGTGCAATGATGGGTAACTCGAATAGCCCCACAGCGTATGTTTGGAAAGACCGGTCTGTTCAGGCTTAGCACACGTGAGGTACAGATGCTGCTTCTCTTCTCCTATGCTCAGAGCAGACATCACCAATCAATCACAGCACACGCCCTGCAGCCAGACATGCCTCAGGGTCCTGTTCAACCAGAGAGCCAGGCGGTCACAACAAATGTAGCTGAGTTGTGTAAACCTGACTTGCCATCAGTGATCTCAGGTTTCAGGGGGCTGCGCCCAGAGAAGCCCAGGTTTCTGGTGGCAGCTTGGGGGCTAGAGAGGCAGCGCTGCTCGGGCTGTCGCTCTCCTGAACCTAAATGAGAGTGGATGGCAACAGTCCCCCAGTGGGGTCTCAGGGCCACACTAACTCGCCTCCTAAGTCATTCCTTCCTCCAAGCGCAGCCATGGGGGCTCTCCCAGCCCCCACTCTAACAAAGTGTCAGACGTTCCCCACTGACCCTCTGTGAGTGGTCGACACATGAGCTGGTGACCCATTCCCACAGAGTGAGAGCCAGGATTGTGGGGTGCCAGCCTCTTCCCTCCTCAGTGCTCTCAGAAATGCTTAGAAGACCAGCTTCCCTTGCTCCCCGGGCCCACCCACCGATCTACATGCTGTCCTTTGGTTGCCAAGTCTGCAGCCCAGGTAGCTGTTGACAGGCTCCCATGAGACGGAAAGGAGGAAGACCCATGGCCCCATATGCCTCCTGCTGGCTGCCGACACAATGTCAGAGCGTGTGGTTGGGAAGTGAAAGTCCGGCCCCCAACGGTGCTTCGCGTCGCCAGGTCACTGACCTGACTTCCCCATCTTGGGAAATCTGGGCTGCCTGCCTTCTACTTAGGTGGCTGTCCTTGAAGCTGGCAGAGAAGCAGCCGCTGCGAACGAAAGGCAAGTGGAGACACACGGAGGTGAAGGTCAGGGGCTGGGAGAGAAAGGAAGGGGGCCTACCTGTTGACGAGCAGGAAGTTCGCCATGAGGCACAGCACAGAGGAAACGGTGGAAGCAACGGTCAGGTAGCTCTCAAAGTAGTTCTGCAAGTACAGAAGTGAGGAGGCTGCTGATGTCACCTGGGATGGACGGGAGTGCCCCACTTGAGGGCAGAGATGGGGCCCTCCTGGGGGCTTCTCCCCACTGTCTTCAGATGCCTCTGAGTGATGGATAAGTTTAGCCCAAGACGGCATGGTCCCGCCTCATTATGACCTAAGACCACTTACTTGGTCACACAATAGACACCAACATGAGCCATGCTAAATGCTGGGGACACAAGTCAGGAGAAGACATTGTCCCTGCCCTGAGGCCCCCAACGCTCTGCAGCCCACACTCCCACCTTTTCTACGTGTCCCAGCCACAGGGCAGGCAATGGGGACAGGACTCAGTGTACACACAGAAAGACTGCGCCCCACCAGCCTTCTTTGCTCACTGCCAAATTTCAGTTACCCAAATGCGTGCTGTGACCCAGCCACATTCTCCTGTTCCTGCAACCAAGTGAGGCTTCTTAGAAATACACTAACCCTGGGGCACTGGGTGGCTCAGTCTGTTAGGCGCCAGACTCCTGACTTAGGTTCAGATCATGATCTTACAATACTGGGATCTTACATCAGGTTCCTTGCTAAGCACACTCTATCTCTCTCCCTCTCTCTCTCAAAATAAATAAACATTTTAAAAGTTAATTTAAAAAAAAAAGAGAGAGAGAGATACAACAAACCCGATCCCCACAGGGAAACTTTGTTCCAACTCGGATTTTCTCCCTCAACAGAGCTGCAACCCAAGGTCAAAGTCATTTTGGAAAATGCTCCTAGACTGGCAGAGATGAGGACAAAGGGCATTTTTCTGGAACCAGTTCCGGGTTATTCTAGATGAAGTGTACATGAGACCACACAACGAAGAAATCCTAATTACAAAAGCAGTAGGGCAACTGTGAGTGTGTGTGTGTGTGTGTGTGTGTGATTTTTTTTAAGTTTATTTATTTTGAGGGAGAGAGAGAGAGAGAAAGAGAGAGCGAGCATGAGTGGGGTAGGGGAAGAGAGAGAGGGAGAGAGAACTCCAACCAGGTTCTGCACTGTTAGCACAGAGCCCGATGCAGGGCTTGAACTCACAAACTGTGAGATCGTGACCTGAGCCGAGATCCCAAGTTGGACACTTAACTGACTGAGCCACCCAGGCGCCCCAACAGTATGTGTTTTTCAAAACTCAGAGAACTGTCCACTCATCAGAGTAGATTTTACTGTGTTTCCATTATCTCTCAATATACCTGTCTTTAAAAAAATCAGAAAAGGCTGACATACCTTGGCTTTGGTCATTGTATGTCCCACCATGAGCCCCGGGTTGGTAACGATCCTGGGTTCTAAGCCGTGGTAACAGATTACGCGTGTTAAGCATTTACTGTGTGCCAAATACAAGGGCTTTATATGAAGTATATTGTTTACTCTACAAAATAAAAAGGAAGCTGTGAGTATTCTGCTCTGGAAAGCTCACCAGATTGGACTTCACTGAGAAAATATTTTGAGTTACAAATGTGCCAAGCACAAAGGACAATGTGTGCAAAAAACTTGCCAATGTGCAAAGAAGTGTGGCGACGGTAGGGATCACTACCGGGAGCGAGACGTGCTTCTTGCCCGTTAAGAAGGAAGCATCCCACTGGGACTGTAAGATAGAGTGTGAAGGTATTTTCATCTCAAAACACCGCAGGAAGAGATGTCAGAATTCTGGGTGTTTTTCTTTTTTTCTTTTTTTTTTTGCCAAATCAGAGGTAGGAGCAGTGAGTTCCGTAAGGGGGTCCAGGTGGGGGAGCAGGACCAGGAAGGCGGATCACGAGTGAGAAGGGAAACGACTACAGGTTTGGGGAAAGGTCCCAGAAGAGGTGGGATCAGAGTCAAACCCTGAAGCAGAGGGCCAGACCTGTTCTTCCCGAAGGAGTATGACTGCGGCGTGGCGGCCAAGAGGGAAAGATATCATAATGAGCTCCTTCAGGTCTGAAACAGATCGTTCTATGGTCCCTTTTCAAGCTTGCAGAGTGCTTTGTGGTCTTTGAAATCTGCACCCTGAATATAACGTCGTGGTGGCCTTGCAATTAAAATGATAATCACAGCTAGTGCGGTCCATCAACCATGAGCCTTAGAAATAGCCTTCCTCCTTTGAGGTGCTACCTCATTGTTCCTGCCCTGATGGGCTCAGTAGAGCTTGGACTGGTCTGAGGCACTCAGTCAATTACGTCTTGATACAGTGGCTGAGCCTACGTGAGGCCAGGCAGGCGGCAGGCAGGAACCATGGAGAAAGGCCCCGAGGAAGAGACAGGTGCAGGTGGATGGGGGGCACTGAGACTGCCCCCAATCTGAGCCCCCTACGGGGTTCCCTTCATTCAGCGGCTGCTCACTCCACGGCAAGTCCACAAACGACGGTCACATGGGATGCCGGGTCTCTGCCTTTGTTGTTTCAAGCAAGCTCAGGTCCCCCGAACATTTTAGGAATGGGGATTTTCTAGGTAATTGAATGTTCTGGTTTGTTGATATTTAAGCAGAAAATTGTCCACTTAACATTGGAAAGGGTTTTAAATATTGACAACTGAGGAAGGCTATGACTCCCTTCCTGTTGACAGAGCCCATGATCTCTGCTTCACAAAGAGCACACAGAAGGAGCAGAATGGACTTGACCCTGGGCCATTGTTCTACTGGTACAGAATGGAAACTGCAGACGGTCCCCAGGGAGCTATTTAAAAAACAAAAACAACTTCATTGTTCCTGATATAAACAAGTGGGCAGGGGCGGGGGAGGTACTTACTTGCTGTTTTTGCCTGTTAGTGTTCTAGCAAAATGAGGTGTGGTGGGCAGACTCTCACGATGGTCCCCATGGTCCCAGCCTCCTGTGTTCACACCCTTGTATGTGATCCCCTCTGCTAAGTGTGGGTGGGACCTGTGACTTGCTTCTAACCAAGGGAATATGGCAAGGGGCCGACACATATGATCATGTGTATGGGGTTATGTCACATCAGACGGTAGGTAGCACCTCTCTTGCCAGACTCTTTCTTTTCTCATTTGATGGCTCAGAGGACGGAAGTGGGGAACCCCACGTGGCAAGAACTGCAGGTGACCCCTAATTGCTCAGAGAGGTTTCTGGCCAACACCCAGCAAGAAACTGAAGCTCTCATCCTTCAACAGCAAGGAATTCTGCCAGGAACCCAGGTAAGCCTGGGAGTGATCATTCTCCAGCCGAGCCTCCGGTGAGACCACAGCCCTGAGGACCCCCTTGATTGTGGCCGTGTGAGACCCTGAGCTGAGGGTTCAGTCAGGCTGTGCCTAGACTCCTGGCCCACACACACCGTGAGATAATAAGTGTGTTATTTTAAGCCACTAAAGTTTGTCGTATTTCGTTACGCAGCAATCGATTCCAATCAAAGAGGGCTTTGGATAGCTGAGGTCCTGCTGTCCTGGGTTTTCCTGAATATCGCTGCCTTCTTGTAGTTTAAATTCAGTTTCTCAGTGGAAACAGGGACAGCTGACCATGATCTTGCCAGACATGAAGATGAATACGTCTGCCCAAGAGGGAGACAAAGGTTAGGCTTACTGACGTCCTCGTCAAATCCTTTGCTGAAATTAGGATCGTTCTGCAAGTGGCATGTGTCGATTCCAAGAAACAGGACTCTGTTTATGGCCACCCCAGATCTGCTCACCTTGCCTGGCCCTCGGAACATTTGCCTTGCTCCCTGGTCTCATGGTCACAAAGCCACTGCTGCCCCCAGAGAAGGAGCCAGTTACTAGGCAGCGACCCCTGTGCCAGTGCGGTGGCCGGGCTGGGTCCTGGAGGCTCTCGCTCCCTAGATGACCATGGAAAGGGGCAGGTGACACTCTGAAGTCGAGGAAGGCAAAGCACCACGGGGCAGGGTGTGACCCGCGGAAGGCAGGAAGTGGAAAGGAGACAGGAGATAAACTTCTGGACTTTCTTCCCCCCCAACCAACTGTTCAAAACTGCAGTGGCCCCGCGTGGCTTCTCTGGATTCATGCTGGGTGCCTGCACCGCCAGCTGTGTTCTGTCACAAAGCCCGGTAAGGCTGCAGCCTGCGTTTGCTCCCTCCCGTCGCCGCCTCACTTCCCTTTTCCCTCTCTCTTTCTTCTCTAGGGCTACACACCCCGAGATGCTGTTCACACATAACGGCTCCTTTCTAAGAAGCCTCCCACAGTGAAGGCTCTACATTCCCTCCCAGATGATGCCCTTTACAGAGTTGGCAGCTGGCATTTCCCTCCTGGGTTCATCTCATTTGCGTCCAAGGGATGTCGGGGCCACCTTCTCCCATGTTACTCCAGGAAATGCAAAAACATTAGAATATTGGTTCAAATACATTGGTTACAGGCCTGCCCTGTCCAAAGCAACTTGTCATCTCCATCCCAAAGGGCGATCTTATGTCATGCAATGTTTGGGGATGACTCATGCCATAGTTCCCCTGCTCTTGGGCCTGATTTCTGAGAGTTTCCTCAAAAGGCTCTGTTGTTATTTATCGTCCAGGGTGCCCCACAACATGACCGATGAACGTGACCATGAATATGGTGAACCCAAAGACCCCAAAGGCCAGCTCCAGCCATGCAGGAGTGGAGGAATGAGGAGGCCACTGGAACAGTGGCACCAGGTCACTGCGGGTGACAGTGGAGGCTGTGCTTTCCGCACCCACACGAGGCACCAGTCCTGAAGCTATGATAGAAACAAAGCTCTCGACAGTTATGCAACATGGCAGCCTTGTTCTTGTTTTGTTTTGTTAAATGTTTATTTCTGAGAGAGAGAAAGAGAGAGAGAAGCAGTGTGAGCAGGAGAAGATCAGAGAGAGAGGGAGACACAGAATCTGAGGCAGGCTCCAGGCTCCGAGCTGTCAGCACAGAGCCCGATGTGGGGCTCAAACTTGTGAACCATGAGATCATGACCTGAGCCAAAGTCCAGCACTTAACGCACTGAGCCACCCAGGCACCCCCATGGCAGCCGTTTATACAGCCCATGGGAAACCTAGTCCTAGGGAGGTCGGTCTAGGGCTCATGTTACTGCAGGTAGA